CTTTTGATGGATAGGAACAGGTCTTAACAGAGTAACAGGACATCGATGGGATCATTACCCTCTCACTAACATTACTGTATCAATTATTATTAAATTTCAAAACAAACAATAACCTGATTGTGGATGGGCTTTGGGTGAAGGAGCACTGTGATTTTCATTCCTTGCATTCTAAAAAAGAAAGAAAGGTATTTTCACCCATAAATAACATAATAAGAATAATGTAACAAAGGAAAACTTTTTCCATTCCTACCTTGTTACTGGGCGTGGTTGATATCCGTTTGTTGGACGGAGTGGGCTTTGGTTTGGGTTGAACAACAAGCGTTGGATTCAGAGCAAAGATCTGGTCAATTTCAATCTGTATTAAAGAAAAAAATGGCACACTGCTTTGAAAAACTCATGCTTTCTTTTGGTGTGACAGTCTGTAAACAGAAGGAGAATGAAAAATCTCTGTCACATGATCCACAATTATATTAACCCTTTAACTCCCAGAAGTGATTAACATAAAACTTCTCCCTACAATATCCATACATTCTTCAGTAAACAGGTGATGAGAATATTAAAACTTATCAGGTAGAAGCTGCTGTCTTGATCTAGCACCAAGTTCTCATAACTAATTTACAAGGAAATGTGTAGCAGCTACAGGGGAGAATTAACAATCAGATCTTGGGAGTTAAAAGGTTAACTGTTTTCACCTCTTTTCCTTTTGTTTCTCCATTTTCATACCACTCAACAGTCACACTTTTGGTGTCCAGGTTGATACCACTTATCATGGATGAATGGACACGGCCTAGAAGAAAAAGATAACTTATCACATGAAGGCACTGGCCATTAGTCTGTTAGCTTGATGGATTTGGAGTTTCTTAATTTCCAGAATGTTCAACTTTACCACTCTGCTTGACCTAAGTTGTTTCAAAGCACATCACAATCTGACCTTCTTGTTGTGCTTTTTCAATAGCTTACTTGTTTGATACCCACCAGCTGGGATGTTTAACTAATTATCATCATTCATCTAATTTTATATCTAAAATTTATATAAATTTTTGTCTCCACAATTGGCACAAGGGTGCTTAATACAAGAAAATGTACCATCCCCAATTTTATTCTTATTTTTTAAAATGAATCTACTACTAAAACAATTCCAACTTTTTTTCTTAAAATCGGGATATTTGCATAAAAAATCAACATATTTTTTCCCAGTTACACTCTGAAAGAAAAACGCGTCGACGAATGCAATGTATACAAGTGTTAAAAAATCTACGTATTTTTAAAATGACTGGGGATTTTGCAAATTGAAACTAAACAAAGAAATGAATAAAAACAGGCTAAAATATTTATTTATCTTACTTTGAATCAACTACTATAATTAGATACATAAGCTAAATTGAACACGCTGGTCAGTTCGGTACTTCAACAAAGATACACAAACAGATCAGACTTAAATTCCTGGGAGACACCACGGGAGAACATTGATAACGCTGTTAGACGACTGAAGCGTTGTTTGAATTAATAATCACAATATTTGAATTATTGCAAGTGTAAATAATCGATGAACACCTCTCTTATTGATATCTTGGCTAAAATGTACACCTGGGCAACCGTATTTTAGTCCTAAACTTCATAAAAAAATTAACATAGCATAAGGAAGCAGATCTTTGAATAGGAGAGCAAATTTTGCAGAAAAATTATCATTATGAAACGAGGCGTTACCAGGGAAAATATTAAGAGTTTGAGTTATTTACATGCGAAATAAGGACCGGTTCGCCGTTGACAAATAAATGCGATCGATCATCCAAGGTTACTAAAATTTTAAACTCGCTCGCGGGTAACTGAATGTCGTAAAGAAACACTACACAAGTAAAATCTCTTTGTAGCAGATTTAGTAAAAGAGAAAAAAAGGATGTAGAAACGAGTCAAAATAGGCTGAGTCTGTATCAAGGCCAAAAAGTTGTCGTCAACTGCAGACAACACTTAGTTACTACTTTATCACGTACCATCAGTCCGTTGAATGTCGACTTTAATCCCCACCACAAGTTTACCGAACTTGTCCATTGCAGCAGTTGTTTACAGTTTCCCGCAAAAGTACGATCCTTAGAGTTGGGATCTGCAGAGATCAAGTGGCTCATTCGGTTCTGTATTTCAGATTTTCCGCTCAAAATCCTCTCCGCCAGCGCAAACACAAAAATTTACATTTGCAAGAAACGATTAGGCCCGCAATCAAACAGCGGTGGCACGTAACAGTGATGAATGTTGTATAATAAGTACCATACCGTCTTCAAGAATATTTGGTACAAGAGGCTCAACAGGGAAAGTTCAGTTACAAAAGTGATTCTTTTCGACAGGTCGCCCAAATCTGAACCTCGACTGGATAGAGGGAAATAGAAATGAGATTGTAGTGAGAGGAAATCGTATGGTAGTCACGCTGGAATTAGCAGACACTACTAAAACTCTGACCAAACGTTCGAAGACCCTTTTCAAAAGCGCTCGCAAAATTTACGTACTTGGTTGGAGAAAGGGAAGCAAAGGACTGCACGTCGACAAAAAAATGTTAGACTACGCGTTTTGTGCTGAGGTGTCACGGTTTTTAGTCAAAACTGTAGTGTAGGTTTCGGGAACACAAGAAAAATTCTGTTTGAATATCGTGTAACATTCTCCGGTGACACCAATCGTAATCAATCAAACAACGAACAATAAAACAACACCGAACTGAACTGAGTCACTCTCAAAGTCCTTTCAGTGAATCATGCACGCGCGCACGTCTTGCGAGTGCAAAACTTCACAGAGCTATCGCATGCCTGACGTGCGCAAAACGTCACATAACCGTCATAATGCTCTTTGTTTCATCACAAAAACCAAAAGCTGTTCTTTGGGCTGGTTTAATTTCCGTAAAGATGAGAAAATGACGACTTTAGGTCACCAAGCTAGTTGATGACAATTACGCTTTGTAACTTTAATAATGCATTGAACAGAAAGCCAAACATTGGCTTTTGGTCAACTGAAAATATATATCTACTTCTCTGAGAGGAAAAAGTTTCAAGTTTCGACCCAAGTAAGTGTTTTCAATTTGTGTTACAATATTTTACAAGAAATTTTATGTTGTGAAATGAAGCCTAAGTAATTCGTGTAGGGTAACGCAAAGGTGGATTGATGTAGCGTATTTTCACGTAGAAAGAGGAGCATACATGTCGGTGAAAAAATTCCTCTCAGATCTGGAACTTTGTGAACTGAATTGCGGTTCATCAGTGCAGAAATTGTAAAAAACAGTTCCAAGACTTTCCTCGTCCACTTCTTTAAGACGTTGAGACATTTTAGAAGTAACCAAATGTCTCAGTGTTTCAATTCTTGACACAAAATTTCCAACTTTTTTCCAATTCTTCGACCACTACACAGCTCAAACGAACACTTCTGTACTCGTGCGACTTTTCCAGGCCTGGATGTACATTTGCAAGCTGGTGTGAACTCTTAAATCGAGCAAACCTTTTCAAATCCTTGCAGACGTTCCCGTTGCGTAGCGTTGATACTGATTTATAAAGTACTTACATCATGGTCGAGTTTCTGGGAACACGTTTTCTTTGCGCTGCAATTTCGAATCCACTGTCGCATCCTGAAAAGGCAGGCTTAACTCTTTCAAATAACGAAGGAGTATCGAGGAAGCTCTTAGTGTCCGCGCCAGGAAGGTTTTTGAGCGTATCTATAAAACGTTGTCGTTCTGTTCGGCTTAATGAAGCAGTATAGGGATTCAGTTCTTCGCTAACCGACTTGAGATCTTGCCAAGCATCGATTTCCGCCTACCACTACCTTTAAAGTTTTCGTTTAAGCTTTAAAAGGTGAATATCAGGGCTGTGGTAAACTGAGTCTTGTTGTTCTTCTGGGATTTCTTCCACTATGAAGTGTTCTTTAATAAGCTGAGAACAAGAAAACGAGAAGGGAATTAAAATTTTAGTTGGCCATTGCTCTCAGGTTAGCCTGCAGAACAAGCGTCATTTCTTTGTGTTTTTCCGGTGAATGAGGGTAAGCACGAAGCGAGCGTGAGGAGCAAGAGACGTGCGAAGGGGCTGAACATGCGCTAGGAGCGAGACACGGGCGAGAGAGAGAGAGCGCCAAGAAGAGGAGAAAAATGTCGTCCTCTCCTTGCACGTGTCTCACCCCTCGCGCGTGTTTCACTCTTTGCGCGCCTCGCCCTTCGCGCTTTCCTCGCGTTTGTATACATTCGCCTGATACACTAAAACTGTCGCCTGTTTGCAGGTTATCGCAAGGTGTAGGCCTTTAATGTTGGAACTCAACTAAGCGGAGGTATAAGAAAGCCCTTAACCTCTTCTGATGGGCTGCTAGATTCTCCTTCCAAACTCCTGCATTTCCTTGGTGAAACATAAGGAGAAATAAGTGTTACAACAAAAAACTTGGGCTTCATACCCCACACCCCTTGAACTGAAGTTCATTACCTGATGGAATTTTTTCTCCAGCTGAGGCTTATTACCAGTTGTTCTCTCTTCATAGCTTATCAAAATAGTTGTGTTCTCATTGCTCAGATCACAAAGTGTGGACACAAGAGGTTCTAAGGACTAATAATAAGAGAAAATTTTAAATCATTCAGGCTCATCAAAAGACAAACAATTTCACAGGCAGGCTTGTGTGATGGACAACTCAATCACAGGCAACCATTTAACCCTCACAACCAAGCATCAGTATGCATATTTTCTTTACTATTCCCTTTAAATTTCCTAGGGTGTTGACAAAGAGAATTTGTTCAGCAATAAAGAACTTCTTTAGCTGGAGATCATTTCCTTTTTTCTTATGACCTCAATGTTTAATTCAGTAGTGATGTTGTAAGGAGAAATTAAATGCTTGTCACTCCTAGGGATAAAAGGGTTAACCCTTTAACTCCCAAGAGCTGATTGTTAATTCTCTCCCCTAGCTTCTACACATTTCTTTGTGAATTAGTTCAGAGAATTTGGTGTTGGATCAAGACAACAACTTCAACCTGATAAGTTTAAGAATTCTCATTACCTTTTTTTTTTATAATGTATGGATATGATAAGGAGAAGTTACATGTTAATCACTTCTGGAAGTTAAAGGGTTAACCCTTTCACCCCC